GCCTTTTCAAAAAGAGGGACTCATTATGCACATAACATATATTGTAAGGGTTTTTTTTTTTGCACTTAATCCATTATTAAATAGTCTAGAATACAATGTTACGGCTAATCATAACCTACCATCGCAAGTAGTAAATATATCAAATATATTTAATTTTTTACTGACGTGTTGAGTTGTGATTGATTAAGAGAAAAGAAAATTATTATATGATCTAAAGTACATGGTCCCGAACTCCTAACCCATGACAATCTAACACGCAAATAAATGTGTTAATTTTATTTTAGTTTTTACATGTAAGTCTGTTTATGATCAATCCAAATCATGTAATCTCGGATCAAATATTGTAGCCTAGTGTCAAAGTTCCTTAGGATCAATGTTGGCGTAGGTGAATTTCTTGCCAAATTAAAAAAAAAAACAAATATAGAAAGAAAAAAAAAAAAAGTGGGTAATGCATGACTCTAGAATTATTACATACATTCTAATTGTGGGATGTGCCCACTATTTGATGGGGTACTAATTACTCCAATAGAACACACTACAGGGCGGCCAAAAACCTAACTACACCTGCCTGATATCAAAATCATCACCAAAACTTTATGTTGAACATGTGAATTAAGTTGGTTGCAAGATGGTTACATAATTGTAAAAGGTAGCCAAAATATTGCACGTATAAAGATTTTGAGTACGTTAGGTAATCCCTGTCCAGTTGTAGGTAATCTACCTGTAACTTATATTCTATATATATTATAATACATATCATTAATTAATATGTGTGTGTGTGTGTGTGTGTCATCACAAGATATGCATATTATATGATTGTTTTTGGCCATCCAAATGTGGTTAGCATTAAAGTCCCCGGACAGATGAGTGTGGTGATGACTAGGAACGATTTGGCCTTTTCATTCATATATAATACTAATGTGTGTGTGTGTTGTGTTGGGGGGTGTTGGTGTTCTCATTGTCAAAGTTGGAGATCGATTTTCTTTTTTTGGGTTTTTTCGTGTAAACCACGATCATCTATGGTTGGGGTCATGAATGTGTCTTTGCTACCCATTTTTCTACAACTGGAAATGGCATCCAAAAAGTATAAACTCCCTCTATGTCCCGTCAATATTGGCAAAACAAACATGCCCCAACCCATTATTATTTGCATATATATCAATACCATATTTTTAGGTTATATATACATATATATGCAAATTATATAGGTGGTCGTTTATCATGATACGGAAAAAGAATTATTATTTTTTATTAGGGTGAATAAATAATCCGCGAATTTGCAAATTCAATTTAATCCAATCCAATCCGTGCAGGTTGGATTGGATTGACCTACGGATCGTTGACGTATTAAAAAAAAAAATCAAATCCATAGCTTACGAATTGGGCTGTTAAAAAATCGATCTGATTCGTGATATATATGTATATATATATATTCAAAGAATATATTAATTAATTTAATTAATTAATTAATTATCATTTAATGGACTCTAAGAATGTAGATCATTTAAATATATGAATTAATAGTGATAAATTGAAATAGTGATAAATTGAAATTTTATTTTTTGGGTTATGGTTAAAAAATAAAGAATATTAGATTATTTAAGAAAAAAAAACCTCAATCCGTGGATTCAATTCGATCCGATCCGTAATTCAATGGATCTGATCCGATCCGTGAGATAATAGATTAGTGGTGGATTCAGATTTTTCTAATTTGTAAAGAGCAAATCAAATTAGGATTGATGCTTGATTTGATCCGTGGACAACTGTTTCTTAATGTGTGTTGATTTATAGACAAAATTGGTTTTATTGGGGTTTGCTCTTAAGATTTAATTCCTCTTGTTTCTTAATATATATATATATATATATATATATATATATATATATAGGCAGTAATTAGAGGATTTAACAGTCGAACTACCACTTGAGTGCAAGAAAACTTAATTGGTGAATTTGATAGCCATATGAAAGTTTCGAGACTAAAAATCATCCCTTCATCTACATCACACCTACTCCCACTGTGCTTCGTATTGTTGCCTTCGAATCCACACACATACATATATATAAAAAATAAGATAAATTTAGAAAAGAGCCAGTTAATTAAAATATCAATTTCAGGAAAATAACCTAATGACAAATATAAATTCACCCGATAATTGTTTGGTTGGGACTTGATGCAGGGCCGCATGTGCCTATATACGTTACAATGTTAAAAAAATGGTTGTAATTAAAACAATCAAGTAAATAAAATTAATTAACTTAAAACAAAGACTCCACGAATGTTGGCCTCGCTTCTTATTAAATTGGAAATAGTTACTCATACTTTTGTACTTTGGCACATGTGGCCACAATCCATATATATATATATATATATATATATAAGTACAAAAGTATGAGTAACTATTTCTTATTTATATATATATATATATGGATTGTGGCCACATGTACCAAAGTACAAAAGTATGAGTAACTATTTCCAATTTAATAAGAAGCGAGGCCAACATTCGTGGAGTCAAAGGAAAAAGATCCATCACAAAACTCTATAGATTAATCTCTGTCCTAATCTCTGTCGATTAACCCACAAAACACAAGACATTCATATAATGTCAGATAAAAATTATACAATTCATTATGGAATCTAGTTAATCATATGCCGATCTTGGTGCTGTCATAAATTATAAAGAAAATAGCAAGCGGATGATGACACGTGGCATCATATCAACCAAATCACTTCCATCCTTGCACATGGATGCATCATGCATATGATCTTAACGCCACTGTTCTTGGCAGATAACACTAGTATACCCTACAAAATTAAAGCGCTATTGAAAGAGACTCCGAATAAAATAATTCCAGAACAGAAAAGAACTTCCCAGAAAAAGGAGATTCGATAGAAACAAATATATATATATATATATATTTCATAGAAGCATCTTGAATTAAATTGAACCCCATGTGTGGTCGTCCTCCTTGTTTACTAGCTTACACCCATTCTACCAACAATCCAGAAAGTAGCTTTTCTTGATCATCTCTACACGCATGCATTCTACTACAACTACATCAACATCAAACTATATTTTCATTTTAATTTCTCTATTTTACATTTCTTCCGGAAAAAAAAAATAATAATAATAATCTATCTCACTTTATTGATGCACCATATATATTTGTATGGAGTATGTTATTACGATGAGCAGTGCTGCACAAACACAAAAATCCAATATTGGGAGGAAGGGCATTTTTGACTTTCTGCTTCCGTATTAACTGAAATAGTGTCCAAGAATTGAAAATTTGGGAGTGTCCAAAACAGGTGTTTGCTGAATACGATTGTAATTTACACCAGTAGTTTAAAAATGAATGGACCACTATGTATATTTATATTGTCAAGGCGACGACGTGTTAACGAAATCAACGAAACCGATTTGGAGCTACTCTTTTGTAATTTTCCAAGTCTTACGACGCTGTTTTGTCAGGTGGTGGCAACATAATTTTACCCAGTCCATACACGTCAATGCTCAGTATTTTCCCAACAACGTACAAAAAAATCAAGTCAAAGGTCAAAAAGAGAATCAGAGTTGCAGAGACAGATTATCAAGAAAGAAAATGACACACAAACCTCACTGACTCGCATGATTTTTCTCGTGCCCAAGGTTTACTCAACCAATGTGACTATGTAATTACTAGCAATATAGACTATATGGTAGGAATATAATATATATATATATATATATATACTACATTCAGAAATGAACATTTTCTGTTTTACTATTATTTTCAGAACTTATTTAAAAAAAAAATACTAGAAAAATTATTAGAAAATACTACTTTTCAGTTTAAGGACTAAAAAAAGCTATCAACTCTATGAATTCGTGATTTGAATTTTTTTTTTTTTTTTTTTTCCAATTCAGCTTGAGATCGCTCCATATTTGATAAATTAATATTTGCAGTCATAATTTATACACATATTACTCCATCTGTTCCATATTAAATGCTCATTTAAAAAATTTTGACCTACTATTATATTTTATCTTTGAGTTATTTAAAATTATTTTTAGTCAAAATCGTTTTATATACTATGTTAGATGTCCACTCGAAAATTTTAACTCATAAAAATTAAAAATTAACAATTAATATGAGATGGAGATAATAAAATGTAATAATTATTTATTTTTTTATTATCTTATGAATTAGTAGTAATTGAAATTTTTCTCATTTTTAAAATTTAACAGTGTTGCACTATCAATTTAATCACACAGAAAAATACACAGTGCAAAAACTGTACGAGAGAGAATTCGGGTGACAAGACACCTTTATATCTTCAAACAAAAGTGGTTTTTTTTTTTTTTTTTTTTTTTTTTTTTGTCATCTTTCAAAAAGCTGCTACTTTTTGTTTGTGGACAGGTTGATGCTATTTATTTGTTACTGTATTTCTTTTTTCCCCAATTTTTTTTCTTTTCGTTTTTATTTCTCATAAGTGAAAATCAAAAAATAATAAAAAAATAAATAGAATTCTTGAGGGACAACGAGAAGTAACCCATTCGAGAAGTAACCCATTCATGGAGTGCCAACAACATCCCACGTCAATGTATCTTCTCCATTATTAAGAGTGGTCCACTCTTGCGTTCATCGAGAATCTCAATTCATTAAAATCCACTTTTAAAAGTTTGCCTTTGGGTAAATACTATCAAAATCATTAATCTTTTTTAGTACTTAGTAACTACTAATAAGTAGGCAACTGCAGGGGTAATTTTGTCCAGGCAAATTTTTCCCAGGGTCAGCTTTGAGAAATAAAAAAAGTAGGGTTCCCCATCGATATATTCCCTACCAACCTTTATGCATTTCGCTTTACAACACAATAATGGTGGGGCAGCATAAATTTTAATAAAAGAAATATATACTGAAAAACAAAAAAATCGTGCAACAAATAAAACCAACCAGAGTGTACCTGCCAAGTACATGATCTTCCTTGAGCTGCTCATCATATCATCCGCAATAAGAGATAATCGTGCCCTAAAAAGCTGCTACGATTACATTTCTAGAGAGAGAGAGAGACAGCAGAGGAGAGAGAAATTTTGTAGACAGATAGAGACCTCCTCCTCCTACTCACCTTCTCTACAGTTGATGGTCCTCTTCATCTACAAAGCCCAAACTCTCTTAAATAAATAAATAAATCAAATTTTCAATCTTTTTACTTGTTAGTTTTTTCCCTTTTTCTGAAACTCCTCTTTGTGTTCTTCATTTCTGGTACAAAAATTGGTTCGTTGTTGGCGGTTTGATTATATAAACATGCAATTTATGCAAGTATGCGGTTGTATATATAACAATAATAATCTGTAGTTTATTCTCTAGGGGCACAAAATGAAAGAGAGCGAGATGGGAAGCAAAGATGAAGTAATGGACGCTCTGTTAAGGGAAGCTGTGGATTTGGTACTAACTCTGAGACTAAACTTGTCTCTGTTATTTAATTTTATGAGGGTTTTTGTTTGTGATTTGTTGATGGGGTGTGTGTTTGTTTTGATGTTTTTTGGTTTTGGGTAAGTAACGAGTTTGAATATGAAATTATTTTTCAGGAGAACATACCAATCGAGGAGGTTTTCCAGAATCTGAAATGTACCAAAGAGGGGCTCTCAACAGAGGGTGCTCAGCAGAGGTTGGAAATTTTTGGGCACAACAAGCTTGAGGAAAAGGAGGTACTTTTCTTTTTTGCTTTTTTTTTTTTTTTTTTTCCTCCTATTTCTTTTTATGTTATTAATATTTCCCCCCTGAATTTAATGTTGTTATTGTTGTCTCTGTTTATAATGATGGTGTTTTTCGCTCCAGATTTATGGTTGTTCCTGTTAAAATTTAAGATTTTTTTGTTGGGATATTGCAGGAGAGCAAGTTTTTGAAGTTCTTAGGGTTCATGTGGAACCCTCTTTCATGGGTTATGGAAGCTGCAGCTATTATGGCCATTGCACTTGCAAATGGAGGAGTGAGCACCAGTTCTTGTTTCCTCTTTGTTTGGTTGCTGAGAATCTCATCTTTTATGTTGTTTTGGATTCTTGATAGCTAAAATTACTCTGGACAAGTCAAGTTATTGTATTAGGATCAGCTGGGTGGAGGTTTTCTTTCTGGGTGCCAAATATGAATACTTTTGAATTTTGAATTTTAATTTCTTTTTTCTCCCGAACCAAACATGGCCTTTATGTTTATGATTTCCAACTTCCAATAGTGATGATTATTTTCTGAAGATTTTGCTCAAGCGAACTTCATATCACCCTCTTATTGGCAGGGAAAGCCACCTGATTGGCAGGATTTTGTTGGGATCATCACTCTTCTTTTTATTAATTCGACTATAAGTTTTATTGAGGAGAACAATGCTGGTAATGCTGCTGCAGCTCTCATGGCACATCTCGCGCCCAAAGCAAAGGTATTGGTATTTGGATAGAAATGAGTCGTGTCTTGTATTTGATTATATCTTCTGAAATCTTGGTTGAGACAGGATTATACAATTTCAGCTTCGCATTTTTTCTGTATTTGATTTATAAATTATTTTAAAGGCTAGGTTGTGACATTTCTTCTTCTCCTTGATTAACTGAATCTCAAATGAAAATTTTAAGGTTCTCCGAGATGGGAGATGGAATGAAAAAGATGCAGCTGTTCTTGTCCCAGGTGACATAATTAGTATTAAACTTGGGGATATAGTTCCAGCTGATGCTCGCCTTCTTGATGGTGACCCATTAAAAATTGATCAGGTGTCTTTGGGACTCTCATTGTTTTGTTAAGTGAATTAAAGTTGAATTTCTGGTAGTTGAGATAACTTACGGAAGCGCCCTTGTTTGGGCTTTGCAGTCTGCACTGACTGGCGAATCCCTTCCTGTAACAAAAGGTCCAGGGGATGGTGTTTATTCGGGCTCTACCTGCAAACAGGGGGAGATTGAAGCAGTTGTGATTGCCACTGGTGTGCATACCTTCTTTGGCAAGGCTGCTCATCTCGTGGACTCCACTAATCAAGTGGGACATTTTCAGAAGGTATGTTAGTCAAATGCAAATTTCTGTGTTCAAATTCATAGTGAAGAGGAAAGAAAGTGAATACAGGAATGATTTAAGAAAGGGAAACGAAAATTCTCTCTCTCCCTCTATATATATGTGTGTGTGTGAGCATATAGATATATACTACAAAATATTGGGATGGAAGAAGTAATAGGATTTCAGTTGGAAGACATCCAATAGATATGGTTTGGTAATTGCAAACACTACATATATATTTTTCTGTTAGTTATTATTGATCAAGAAACCAACACTACAAGAATACAAGGGCATTCACATGCCAGTAGCACAAGCAATACAACAGCATACTAAGGCTAGGCTCAACAAACAAGGAGCAACTAGTTCACTCCAGAGTCCAGACTATTATCCATCATCAAGTGACAGAAAACAACTAAAGCAAACAACTACCTAAGTGACAAGAGCAAATAGAAATACCTCGCATAGAACTGTAGAAACATAATACACTCTATTCCACCAACAAAGGAGAAACTAACCCCAGCTAATAGAACAAACATCCTTAATTTCCCACTGCCCAGCCAACTCTCTATTAGTTTGAGTGTCTTTTATTTTCAGATGGAGATATTAAAGCTCACGGTGAACACTGAAAATAATATCAGATACAGTCCCCTTTCTATAATTAAGCAACCTAGCATTCCTCTCCCTCCATAAAAAGTTCACAGAAGCAGCCAAGCAGAACTTTTGAATTCTAATTCTTAATTTGTTCCCTCATAACTCAGCTGCAAGGACCTGAATAGGATTACTCCAAAGCAAGTCCTGCAAATCCAGACCATATTTAGCTTAGGTGTTCCCCTAAACAGACTTAAAAAATACTACTTTGGTTTGTTGTATTTCAACAATTTTCTCACTTTAGTGTCGGTTTCCATTTTGATTTTGTCAAGTCCACTCTCCTGTGGTGAACAAGTTTCTCATTTTCTTATTTTTGGATAGCTTACAATTGTTTTGTATTCAGAACTCTGTTTATTGCTTAACAGGTCCTGACTGCCATTGGGAATTTCTGTATATGTTCCATAGCTGTGGGAATGCTTATAGAAATCATTGTAATGTACCCGATTCAACATCGGCCCTATCGTCCAGGAATTGACAATCTGCTGGTACTTCTTATTGGAGGAATTCCCATTGCAATGCCTACAGTTCTTTCTGTAACAATGGCAATTGGCTCGCACCGTTTATCTCAGCAGGTTTGTCCCATTGGCCATTCTAATTCTTGTACTTCAATCAATTTTTGTTTGAGGTGTGCTATGCCAAGTCTATTTATTTTTAATTATTGTAGGGAGCCATCACAAAACGAATGACAGCAATAGAAGAAATGGCAGGAATGGATGTGCTTTGCAGTGACAAAACTGGAACTTTGACCTTGAACAAGCTGAGTGTTGACAAAAATATTATAGAGGTTTGTTGTGTGTGTGTTGGGGGGTTGCGTCATGATTGAATTTCTAACATTGTGCATTGTAATGCCCATTCTAACTCTTTGTTTGGATATACTATTTAAGGTCTTTTCTAAAGGAGTGGATGCGGATGCTGTAGTTTTGATGGCTGCCAGAGCCTCCCGAGTAGAAAACCAAGATGCAATAGACGCCGCTATAGTGGGGATGTTGTCTGATCCAAAGGAGGTATGCTGATTGGTATATAAATTTTCTTGTACAAAGAATATGTCAGCAAGAATATGTCACCTTGAGATAGTGCAGCTGCAGCATGGAGAATAATAGGTTTTTCACTCTTTTACTTTTTTTCTTGGTCTTTCAATTTTTTTAACTTTTTTTTTTTTTTTTTTTTTTTTTTCTTTTCTTGGCTATTAAAAAAAGGCAAGGGCTGGTATTCAAGAGATTCACTTCCTTCCGTTTAACCCAACTGATAAGCGAACAGCTCTGACATATATTGACAGCGAAGGTAAAATGCATCGGGTCAGCAAAGGTGCACCAGAACAGGTATATTATCCAGTAATTGTATGTAATGTGCTGGATCTGTAATTGAAAACTCACTGTCCTAATTCATGCATGCAATATGGTTATTTAGATTCTGAATCTTGCACACAATAGATCGGACATAGAGCGTAGAGTTCATGCTGTGATTGATAAGTTTGCGGATCGAGGTTTACGATCTCTAGCAGTAGCGTATCAGGTAATATGTTATTCTGTCATTATCCTTTTTATACTGTCTACTGATTCAACTCAATATCAATGTCTATCTCAATAGCGATTAGCCTAGAACAATGTATTTTACGGTCTCTGTTTAACGTTTGTGGCAGGAAGTTCCTGAAGGAAGAAAGGAGAGCCCTGGAGGTCCATGGCAATTCATTGGACTTTTGCCTCTCTTTGATCCACCCCGACATGACAGTGCAGAGACAATAAGAAGGGCTTTAAGTCTGGGGGTAAATGTTAAAATGATCACTGGTGAGTATGTCTTGTGTAGAATTGTGTCTTTCTTTTTTCGGCTGAACATGCTCAGTCAGTGCTTTTGATTGTTGTACAAAAAAATGAATTAGCTCTGTTCATTGATGCTAGAGGAAATTTATATGGGTATAGAAGTGAGAATTTTAAGCAAAAAAAATGATTTATTTTTTATTTTGTGTTGGTAAAATGATGTGGCAATACTATTCTTTACCAGTGCTCTGATTATTTATAGATGTGACACTGCGTTACTTAATTTAGGCAGTGCTGAAGAAAATATTGGAACTCACAGAATCCTTCTTCTATCAAAGATTGAGCCATAGGTATAAACAACCTGTGTATTATTTAAAGACATTAATAAATATCCACTTTCCATTAATACCAACTAGGGGCGGGGCAAACATACTTGGCGTGGACGATGCTGTGGTGGAGGTGACAGTGCATTGTGGCATTGTTTGGTGTGATCATGGTGGGGCAATGTGATTGGAAATGATTAGATTTTTATTAACTTTGTATGGAGACTTGATTGGAAATTGAAGCCAACAAATCAACACCAAGGTTGATTGTTAGCCTATTTTTGAGAAAAATAAAGACCATCTCATTGCATAGGGCTGAACTTATGGTGAACTGGCCTATCCGCTCAACAGGTACTTATAGTTCATGCTCTGCACATTTAGGTCTTGTACCAGATATTCGTGGTCCGTGGAGTTCAAATATGGTGCAGGTGCTCATAAGTTAATTGTGGGCCTCGCTGCAGTGAATGTTTCGTAATGTTTAATTCAAGAGACCTAAATGTGCATAGCTTTAGTGGGTCATTCCATGATCTGCATGCTTTTGGTTGAGGAGTTGGCAAATTTTTACGCCATTAAGAAATTCCTGTTTAATCCTTCATATCTGGTGTTCTGTTTCTTTAAATTTATTTCTCTCTTGTTCACAAATTATTTTGTTCGTAGTTTTTTTTGTATTTTTGCATGACTCTGTCAACCTCCATTAGGTGATCAACTGGCAATAGCAAAGGAAACAGGACGCCGACTTGGAATGGGAACCAACATGTATCCTTCTTCTGCTTTGCTAGGGCAAAATAAGGATGAATCAATTGCAGCTTTGCCTGTTGATGAGCTGATCGAGAAAGCTGATGGTTTTGCTGGCGTTTTCCCTGGTACCATTTTTCTTCGTTTTTTATTTATTTATAGTAATTTGGGTTATTGTTTTTCTAAATTTCGGTTAACTTTACATAAGCCTATGTGGTAAGATAAGCACCCTACTGAGAGAAAGATGTATCCCTTGAACTCTCCTATCGCGGAAGCTAGAATGCTGGACTCAAGGGTTAATTTTATTTTATTTTTTCCTCCTGATTAATATGTTCAAATTGATGTGTACATAACATAGTACTGATTTTGTGCAGCGTAAAATATTCAGAGAGCACTTCTTCTTTGTTTCTTACTTGTGTAACTGACCTTGTTTAATCTATTTGTGCAGAGCACAAATATGAAATTGTTAAACGTTTGCAAGCTAGAAAACATATATGTGGAATGACTGGTGATGGAGTTAATGATGCTCCTGCTCTTAAAAAGGCTGACATTGGCATAGCTGTTGCTGATGCAACTGATGCTGCTCGTAGTGCTTCTGATATAGTCCTCACTGAACCTGGTCTTAGTGTCATCATTAGTGCTGTACTGACTAGTAGGGCGATTTTCCAGAGGATGAAAAATTACACAGTAAGTTTGGGTTCTCATCAGACAACAGTTTCTTTGTTTTAGAGTGTGATTGGTAGTATTTCTTCCAATGTCATTGCCCCGCTTTCATTGGTCACTGAATGGGCCATCGTGCCCTCCACAAGTACCCTATAATACTGCTACCAACCATGATTGTGCATTAAAGTTAACTAATTTCTTTTTTTTTTTTGCATTTTCTTAATGCAGATTTATGCAGTTTCCATTACAATCCGTATTGTGGTAAGTTATTTCATGGCAACGTTGGAATTTATTATTGTAAATAACCTCTTTTTACAATTGTATTTGAAATTTTGCCATAATTATCTCAATTTAATCAACAATAATTTGGTTGGATCTCTTGGTGGTTTGTAAATTACTCTTTCACCTATTTCTGGTTTTTTCTTTTTTCTTTTTTCTTTGACAGCTTGGTTTCATGTTACTTGCCCTCATATGGGAGTTTGACTTCCCACCCTTCATGGTGCTGATCATTGCCATCCTTAATGATGGTACTTATTATGTTTCTTTTATTACACTGAACACTTAATCCCTTGATTTATTCAGTTAATACAGACAAATAGATGCACATTGCTTTTCATTTTGTTTTACTTAAGCTCAAATGGTTTTTGTTGTTAATTTTGAGGGAACGAAAGGGAAACCAGTTGGCGTATAGATTTTTTTACTCACTAGTTGTTTGCAATGCCAGGTACCATTATGACAATATCAAAGGATAGAGTGAAACCATCGCCTCTGCCCGACAGCTGGAAGTTAGCGGAGATTTTTACAACTGGAGTAATTCTTGGTGGTTACTTGGCAATGATGACGGTCATTTTCTTTTGGGCAGCATATAAGACAGACTTTTTTCCTGTAAGGAAACTTACAATTAGTAAAAGATGCCTTAACTACAGGGAAAAAAACAATGATGCCTTAATGCTCATGTGATTATGAATATCACAATTTTCTCCAGGTTCTTGTCAGTTTTTATAAGTTAGCCCACTTCAATTTCCTTCTTTAAGTTATCATCATCATCCAAGCACCATTTGCCATCATCATCAGTTTTTATTATTTCAATTTTATACACTTTTTATCAGTTCCCTGTCACAACTTTCTTTCATCCACAACTCCAAGTTAATTTCCAATGCCCCTTAATCTCTTCACCCTTAGCCACAGCTCTAAGTGAAATTTTCAATTACTTTGAATCTAGCATCAGTCCTAACAGAGTTCTGAAAATTATCTCTGTTCTTATTAAAGATGCTCTCCTTGTACTCACTATTTTGTTGACATATTTTGGATCTTTGGATTGAATAGCATCAGCAGTTAAATTTTTTTTCCTTTCTATATGGCATTAGCTTCATGAGTCAAAACATATCCTGTCCCTCTTTTGCTTTTCAATGTGTTGAATTGATTTATGTTTTTCTTATTGACGGGAGTTTGTTGGGAATTTAATTAATTATGGTCGTGTGCATTTGATTTGCATTTTTGTCATGAGTAATGATGCTCTGTTACTTAATCCGATTTATCAACTTTTGTCCTACATTAATGTACATTTCCTTACTCAACTAGACTAGCTATGGACCTAACTTATTTCATTGATATATCAGTTCCCTGCTAGTGAACACTAATGAGAAACAATTTGCTAAACTTGCTTGGTCTTACACCTTTCTTGTTAATTCCAGCATTTATTTAAGGTCCCTACTCTTCAAAAAACAGCTCATGATGACTTCAGAAAGCTTGCCTCAGCAATATACTTGCAAGTGAGTACTATCAGTCAAGCCCTCATATTTGTGACACGAGCTAGGAGTTGGTCTTTTTGTGAGCGTCCTGGCCTTTTGCTTGTGGTGGCTTTTATCGTTGCTCAGCTGGTGAGTAAACTACTGGTTTTATATTATTTATGTTTTATGTGCAAGCACCTTTTGATTAAGCCAAGTGTTATTCTTTCTTCTTTGTTGAGCAGATTGCCACATTGATTGCTGTCTATGCAAACTGGAGTTTTGCTGCTATTGAAGGGATTGGATGGGGTTGGGCTGGGGTGATTTGGCTGTATAACATCATATGTTACATCCCACTTGATTTTATTAAGTTCATTATCCGATATGCTTTGAGTGGGAGGGCTTGGGATCTTGTTTTCGAGCAAAGGGTATATGACAAACACTTGATCAATTAGAGTAATTTAGGGATGAAACTCTTGGCTGACTGTGTTTGGCGGAATTCTCTATTTTGCAGATTGCCTTCACAAGGAAAAAGGATTTTGGGAAGGAAGAGCGAGAGCTTAAATGGGCACATGCACAGAGGACCCTCCATGGACTGCCTCTACCAGATACCAAGTTGTTCACTGATCATAGTAGTTTGACGGATCATAATCAGATGGCTGAAGATGCAAAAAGACGAGCTGAGCTTGCAAGGTACACACATGCACACATAACTGAAATTAATTTTTGCTTGGATCCTCAACAAAAACTTTTACGCTCTTCTGCAGTGATATTTATTCTTGTTCCATTTTATATTGAAGATATATATGATGGATCTAGAAAATCTATTGTTTTCGGGTCATTTGGAGACCTTTGTTTCGTGTTTCTGGGTTTGAAGATCCAAAGGTTAGGATTTTTTTCTGTTGATTGAAGTCCAATAGCTTGCCAGTAGTCGAATGCAAATTAGTAAAATCTGCAGTTTAATATTTTTTAATGATTTGATGAAAATATTGTACCATGTATATGGTCAACTCCGTCAACAGGCAAAATTCATTTAACCCGTTCCTTTTATCAATGGGCTATTAGCTCAATGGTATAACCTCCCTACCCTCAAAGAGGAGGGGAGGGTTTCATGCCCTAGCGTGGGCAATGTGTGTGAGTATACTTAACACATAAATAAAAAATGCGAAATTCGTAAATCATGCTGATACAACGGTTGTAAGGCCTATCACTTAGCATGTCCAATCTGATGGAAGCATGAACTAGCAATCAATTTGGTTCTTCTTTGGCATTTCACCGTTTGAAGTAGGAAAATTTAGTGGATGGTGAAAAAAGAACGTATATTGATTAGGGTTTCATATTTGACCATGTGGATATAGTGTTACTGCTATCCTCCTGTCTATTTCTACAATGTGTAACATTATTGCATCTAGTATGCATTGTGCTCTAGAGAGAGACAATTGAATATGCAGTTGATACTTTAATATATGCCATGATGTGTTTTTTTTTTTTTTGTCTCCCTTTTTTCTTGCAGGCTGAGAGAACTGCACACACTCAAAGGCCATGTTGAATCAGTTGTGAAATTGAAGGGCCTTGACATCGACACAATTCAGCAAGCGTATACTCTTTGAGGGAGATGAGGCATTGTCCTTCCATGTGGTACATACTTCTGCTAGTGCCTGTTGTAAAGACCCCGTAGTTTCAGATCCTATTTAATGCAACCTACCGGCATTCTTCTAGTATATATGTTCACCATGGATTGTTGTCAGCATCTTTGGTTGCTGCTCCATATCCTCTCTCGCTCCCACCTTCCGAACTTCTTTTGCTCCTACCTGGTGATGAGTAGATTAATATTACAGTTACATTCCCCATTCTGGTACAAAAAAGACGTGCTGGAATGACTTTGGCTTTTATGCCTCTAATTTTTTTATCAGTTGGTCATTTAGCTGATCAGCTTGGGCATTGAATGATATGCAACAATCATAGTTGCTTGGTCACTCTGTCTAGCTAGTAATTCTTGATTTAGAACCTTGTTTCCCAAGTATGCATGCCTTCAGGGAGGTTTTCAGCCAGCTGAAGCACCCCGCTACGCTGTAAAAAAATAATAATAATAAGAGCCTTTTTTAAAAAAAATTATAAAAACCCATGTGTTTACCACATTTGGAAAGAGAGGAACTCAAGTCTCTTCAAAGGGTATATCATCCGCCAACAATGATATTCAACAAGATTATCAAACTCAATCAAAGGAAAATTCCAATCTAGGGTTTTGTAATCTCGAATGGAAGCATCCTGATTATTCATTATGGTCGCACATCTTACTACAAAAAGTTTTCATAATGATTATTCATCATGGCTTATATCTTAGTACAAAAAAATTTCTTTGTAAACATGCCTCCATAAAAGGCAAGGATCTTAATAATATAAAGTTGTCTGCATTTGCATGTAATGGAAACACTTCCTAATATTGAAAGAGGTGCCGGAGGAGAGCCTAAAGAGTGGCAATGGTATGTTTTTCAGAGAGACGTGGAGAGATAGACGATGCATATATATATATATATGTATATATATATATATACACACACTATACACATAGAGTTATGATCTCTAGTTTAACGGTCAGTGTAGTAAAAGTTGGGGGGGAAAAAATCCAAAGTAGTAAAGTGCAACTTATCAAACAAATTAATTAAGGTATACACTTGCATACCCCCAAAAAAAATTAACAAAAATAAATAAATATAAGAAAAAAAGTTGTGTTGGAGAGGGAGTGTTTAATATTATTAATCCATTTATTTAGGTACACATGCAACTACGCAAGCACCTACACATGCAACTATGCAAGCACCTAAAAACTTCACACAACTTCATAGTCAACAGATTTTGTATTTATGAGTACCAATATTGGTAATGTACTACAGTGGTGCGAATTATTTCCACCAAATACTACACTATATTCAAGGCAATGAATCCTAAAACAGTGAGTCATAAACTAATGTTACATTTGGTGTGCAGGAATAGAATGGAATGGCAATTCCATTGGAATGAAAATCCATTCCAGAGAATGAAAATTCATTTCATTACTAAACATATGGAATGGCCATCCCATTTCATAGTAAGATTAAATATTTTTGTAATATTCCTAATAAGCCCTTCATCACATTCAAATAAAGCAAAAATCTTTTGTAGACAAAAAAATATTTCACATACCATTTTTCAACTTCTTAATTAGACATGGTAAATGTCTCCCATCTTCTGAATATACCCAGGCTGCCATCTTTATCTTCTAAGTATATCACTTTTTTCCTTTTTTTTTTTTTTTTTTTTTTTTTTAACATTTGTGTGATTTCTCCATCTTTCTCTCTTCGAACATTTATATATGGAGCAATGATAATATAAAATAAAAATCAACAATCATCTAGAGTCAAAAATAATATTTTAGTTTATTTAAAGGCTTTTCTTTATTTTTTTCATCGTCAGAATATTAATTAGATTTTTATTAAAAAGTAATGTAAGTCATTTGAAAAGAGTATTTTTGACAAAAATCATTACATTTCAGATTTAACGATGGTCAACCAAACAATAGAATGGTAATAATCATTCCATTCCATAACGATTCTATAATGTTTATTAAATATGCAAAAGTATAAAAGAGATATTTGGTTTTTTTAGTGGGCCCCACAAAGCACTAAACATATTTTATATCAACACACATCATTTTTGTGGCTATTTTCACTTCAGCTTCGGGATTGAGCTCCCTGTTTCTCTCCTTGGTTTTTTTTCTTTTCTCATTTTCTCCCTGTGAGTACAAGCAATTTATCATTTGGTGCACTCTAAGGATTTCGAAATTTTAGGGTTCTTGGGCTCAAATTGGGGATTTTGAGGGTTTTCACTTCCATTGAGGTAGGGGTGTTCTAATCTACAACTTCTTGGGTCTTTTGTGAATTTTTCCCCTTAAATTTGATCTTAAGCATGCTAATTTTTGATTACCTAGTTTGTTGTTGTTGTAGTTATGTGTAATTAAAATGATAAATGTGTTCCACGTGTTATTTGAGTTCATATACATGTCTATCTTCATTACGGTAAATGAGCATGCTTAGTGTTTGATATGTTGTATGTTCTATGATTATTTATTTATTACCTTGAAAAAGTGATACTATGGTTATAAATAAATAAAATAAATGAATATTTAGAAATAATTATTGAATTGTGATGATGATGTAAATGGAATGTGTGAAAGCCTATAGTTGAATTGATGATTAAAAGCATAAAGCATTCATTCATCCATCAGCAAGAAAAAAGGGAAAAATGTTTTCAAAACAAAGGAAATAAATTTTTGGGAAAGTATTTCTAAAAGTGTTTGCGAAAACCGGACGCCTAGGAAGCGCTTAGTGGTCCGTGTTGTTAATGTAGTCTAGAAGGGAGTATGGTTGAGCTAACTAGGCCGGATGCGACGCCTTGGAGGTGCCTTATGGTCGTGGATAGTTAGTCAACCCTCTATTTGTGACGCCTGGAGGTGCCTTGGGTCGGATTACACTAATGGTTTAGAAGTTGAAACGGAAATGTTTCAGAAATGGGGAGTGACATTTGCATAACATTGCATTTCATGATATTGTGGGAAATTTGTGATTTGTTGACATTTGTTTCATATTTGTTTTTGTGGTTGAGAATATGTATTCCCCATGGTATGACCCCGTTTCTTTTTACCTCTTCCTTATGTGGATTCACGGGGTCATAAGAAGTATATCTTAGACACTTCCTATTGAACTTATGCCCATCCCCTTCACGGGGTCATAAGAAGTATGTCTTAGACACTTCCTATTGAACTTATGCCCATCCCCATTGTTTTTAACATTTTTTAGGATACGGAAAAGAGGCGGCAGACGACGATCTACCACAGGTTTAGACGAGCTTGGAGACTCATTTTATTTTGCTATCTTTTGTATTAGAACTCTAATATTTTGTAAATGTAATCTTAACTATTTTGAGAAACTTTAGTTTAATTGGTACAATATTATAAGTTATGGACTTTTAAATTCTAGCTACATTTTATGGACTGTAACTTGATGTAACTAAAGTGTGTTTCTTGTTTGGATGAAATGATGGAAGGCGATTTTTGATACGTATGCAATCATTTCGAGAGTGTAATATAATAATTGTATTGTTCGTTGGAACATGATATATTATTTTTAAGGCTCAGTGAGGCCATTGCATTTTTTTTTTTTTTTTGTATTTCAATAGGTTATAAATGAACTTTGGGAGTCATGCCGAAATTTTATATATTTTATTATTATTATTTTGGTATCCTTTTGGGGCATTACAGATTCACCGTGTCACTCCAAAGAATGGAATAATATTATCATTCTCATTCTCATTCTCATTCCGTTCTGAGCTGCATTCCATTACATGCTTGCACACCAAACGTAGCCTAAGTACTTTTGTAAATTGTTTTCTATCGAACACGTAGCCTAAGTACTTTTGTAAATTGTTTTCTATCGAATACTACATTAAATTCAAGGCAAAGAATCCTCAAACATTCAATCATAAACTATGATAACTCACGAATCACCTCATACTAATTATTGAAATAATTGAAATATGTATTGTGAATTTATCTGCCGATCGAAAACCACCCCTTTCAACAACCGTCTACAAAAACTCTGGGTATTACAAATAAAAGTAGCACACATAATAAAATACTTTTGTCGTCCTCCAGAGTCATCTATCAAGTTAATGATCGATTATTAATCATGTAGGAGTAATTCTAGAAAAAAAGGAGTGGAGCACAAATGTTAGTCATGGAAGCCAGATTGTCCAGGACTTGTCAACGTCAAAGATCATCTGTTTCCAACAAAAAAAAAAAAATACCACCCAACAGAATTGCATTAATACTTTGTTAGAACTCCACACGTTATTTTCAAACAAATATAACATTAAATTCAAGGCGATGAATCCTAAAATAGTGAGTCAGAAAATAAGTACTCTGTCAATTGTTTTCTACAAAATACTACATTAAATTCAAGGCAAAGAATCCTCAAACAGTCGATCATAAACTATGATGACTCACGAATCAACTCATATTAATTATCAAAGAAAGTGAAATATGTACTGCAAATTTATTTGCAGATTGAATACCACCTCATTGAACAAACGTTTCCCAGAACTCTGGGTACTACAAATAAAAGTAAGACACACAATAAAAATACTTTTGTCATCCTCCAGTCTAGGGTCATCTATCAAGGGAAAAAATATGCAGACAACAACGAATTAATTATCAATTATTAATCATGTAGGAGTAATTATGGAAACAATTTATTATTCTTAATACAACCACGCAGGAGCATAAGCTCTACCCATAAGCTCATCAACATGTAAAATAGACAGCAGAAAATCTCAAAAGTTAAAGCAGACAGCAATTCTATAAAGAAGAAACCCGGTGCAAGTTTACAATGGAAACAACAGACTTGGAAAAAAAAAGCAAATAAAAAAAAAAATGGCAGCAACTCTGCCAAGAAAAAAGAAACAGAAAAAAGGATCAGAAGCTTCTCACAAGATTTTATCCTCCAAGAAAACAACATGCCTCTTCACGTCACCACCAACTATCCAACACGCAAACATGTTCCAATATATAACACGAGCATGTTGGGAAGAAAATTGTGAATAATCAAGGTGTTGTACCTGGCGTAACCATTCTACTTGGAACCGACTATGTAAAGATATGGCACTAAACACTATATAGGCAGAGTTATGTTAAGAAAGAGAACCGTAAGTGAAGTCTGAAACACAAGAAAGAAATTATGAAAGAATGAAAAAAAGAAAGAAAGAGAGAGCACAAACAGAGCCTTTGCAAGAAACCCAACAAAGCAGAACCATTCATAAACAACAATGGACTCCCATCAATTCCATCCCCTACAAAATATTTTCTAGAGATAGCATGTTTACCAAGGACAAACAATAATTTAATTTCGGTGTTATGATGTCCTCTAACATGCTTTTCTTTTTT